CCTAACAGCTTTCTTTGACAGGGTAAAAAGCCTTGTGGATGGGGGGGGGGGTGGGGGAGGGGGAGAGCAGTAGATGCGATATCTCAACTTTAGTAAGATTTTTGATATGGTCTCACATTTCCTTCTCATAAACAACCTAGGGAAATAAACCTGGATGGAGCTACTATAAGGTGGATGCATAACTGGCGGGAAAACCCCAGAGAGTAGTTATCAGTGGTTCACAGTCAAGCTAGAAGGGCATATCAAGTGGGGTCCCGCAGGGATCATTTCTGAGTCTGATTCTGTTCAATATCTTCAATGATTTAAATAATGGCATAGTGAGTACACTTATAAAGTTTGTGGATGATACCAAGCTGGGAGTGGTTGCAAGTGTCTTGGAGGATAGGATTAAAAATGTAAATGATCTCGATAAACTGGAGACATGATCTGAAGTATATAGGATGAAATTCAATAAGGACACATGCATAGTACTCCACTTATGAAGGCGCAATCAGTCAGACACATACAAATGAGAAATGACTGTCTAGGAAGGAGTATCTCAGAAAGATCTGGCAGTTATAGTGGATCACAAGTTAACTATGAGTCAGTGTAAGACTGTTGCAAAAAACATCCCACAAACATCATTCTGGGATGAATTAACAGGAGTTTTTTAAAGCAAGACACAAGTAGTAATTCTTCCACTCTACTCCGCACTGATTAGGCCTCAACTGGAGTATTGTGTCCAGTTCTGGGCACCACATTTCAGGAAAGATGTGGACAAACTGGAAAAAGTCCAGAGAAGAGCAACAAAAATTATTAAAGATCTAGAAAACATGATCTATGAGAGAAGAGTGGGAAAAAAATGGGTTTGTTTAGTCTAGCGAAGAGAAGACTGTGAAAGGGGACATAACAGTTTTCAAGTACATAAAAGGTTGTTACAAGGAGGAAGGAGAAAAAATGTTCTCCTTAACCTCTGAGGATAGGACAAGAAGCAATGGGCTTAAATTGCAGTTAAGGTGGTTTAGGTTGAACATTTGGAAAAACTGCCGAACTGTCAGGGTACTGGAACAAATTGCCTAGGGAGGTTGTGGAATCTTCGTCATTGGAAATTTTTAAGAACAGGTTAGACAGACACCTGTCAGGGATGGCCTAGATAATAATTAGCCCTGCCTTGAGTGCAGGGGACTGGACTAGAAGACCTCTTGAGGATTGTTTTATGCTGTAATAAGTTTTGTTATTCCTGCTGAACTCATTTTTGTTGTTGTGTGCATAGCAGCATTTGGTGACAAAATGCAACACTTAACTGAATGAATGCATAGAGCTCTCTGCTACCACACCTTTCAGTCTCCAGAGCTGTTTTGTTAGTACTTTCCAAGAGGACAGATTCGTTACTAATATTTTTTAAGTCATCTATTTTAGATAAGATCAGAAGACAGTGAGTAGGCAACATGCTTAAAGATCTATGATAAATGCATTTTATCACATGACTTGCTTCCCACATTATCAGCATAACAATAAACAGACCAAGATTAAAGTTATCATAGAGCAAAACATAGGTTGAAAGCTGGTTTACATATATATTATATAAATAATCCAGAAACTGAAGTCTAGCTGATTTCATAGACAGGCAACAACTCATAACAAAAGTTTGCACCCACAACACAGTCTTTACATTCACCTCACATAGGCCGGATAATAGCACAGTAAAACTTAGTAGTCAGATAATGGTATGTATTGTATTGTCTGTTTAGGACCTATAATACTGCAGTGATACATGCTACAGACATTATTTCTTTACCAGGCACCATTTCCTTAGTAGTTTACTGGGCTTTTCTGACTCTACTAAAGGGTTGCCCTCTAATAGGAGCATTTTTCCCAGCATACCTTTCTCAGGCTGCCCCTTTAAA